CTCGTTCGGAGAAATAATCTCCAGTACTCAACAATCATTGCAAGTACTTAAACACTGTATGAAGTGATTCAAAGCTCTGCAGTGTGGTTTGATGTTTTCCTTTCCCCTAATGAATGTCTTATTAATTAATATATATATATATATATATATATATATATATATATATATATATATATATATTTATTTTAGGCATAAATGACGTACTCCAAAATAATTGGTGTTGCATTTCGGGTCAAGGCGGGCCGGGCCAAAAAATGTTAAATAAACCCTAAAACAAGAGAATTCACACGCATTGGAAAAAACATAGCGATAGAATTAAAGAAAACACCATCATCATATCTTCCCATAGACATCGTCGAAATTATCCTGTTGACATCACCATCGGTTAAATCTCTTCTTCGATTCAAAAAAGTTTGCAAGTCATGGAATACGATGATCTCCGATCCTGAATTCATCCGCAAACATCTCAAAAATTTGAAAACTCCCCAAATAATAATAATCTCTTCCTAAGTAAGTAAAAGAACAAAACCCAAAGGTTTTCTCTGTTTAAATTCGAAGATTCAAGAATCCACGCCGAACGACTATAGAGGAATGTTCAATAAATCTACGACATTATATTATGCGAATTCAAGGACGTGCTATTCTTGAAGGAATCTCGGTGCTAGACAAGAAAGCACGCGTTGTGGAATCCGTCTACACGAAACGTGATGTATTTCGAAGGCCCACCTACATTTTGAGTATGTGAATTAGTGAATGCTCACGGGATTTGTTACGATGCGATAACGCACGATTTCAAGGTTGTCTTTTTTCCGAGATGAAATATGCAATTTACTCCTGTAACAACCGTTGTTGGAGAGAAAAGAAAACCGACCTAGATATTGGTAACTACAGTAGTCATGCAGGAATATTCGTCGACGGAGCTATCTATTGGGTTTCAAAGACCGGACAATTAGTTGTGTATTTCGATCCAAGAACCGACGAGCTCAAGACTTTGCAGAAGCCCGACATACTAAATGGCAACGAAAAGTCAACTATTAGGATAGCTTCTTAGGGAGGGAGTCTTTATTTCTACTGCGACGATAGAGGCGAGGACTCGGTTCGAATCTTGATCAAGAAGATGGGAATTTTCGAAAATTATTGGAACGAGTATATAACGATCGAGAATTTGATGTTTCGGAATAAATGGTGGCTCCAACCACAATGTTTAGTGGGAAACAAGATTTTAAATCGATTGGATGGGAAACTATGTAACATCCCGCCCTTTCGGATAACTTGTTTTATATTTTTATTATTTTTCATAAGTAGATTTTCGTTTAGAAATTTTATGTGTGCTAATAGGTTAATTAACTATGAGCCATCATAATTAAACATGCATTCTTGATGTATTTTATGTGTGACTTAAATTATGTGATTGGTTGATTTATTAGGATCGACTATTTGAAAATTTTTACACGAAAAATAACTAATTGAGAATTTTCATATTTTAATTGGATTATTGCATTCTAGAATTTAATTTGGATAGTTGGAATATATTTTTGCATACACTAAATTTTTTGAAAAAGAAAAACATCACGCATATTAGATAATTAAATGAGTGAATAAACTTAGAAATAAATTTTTCCCCACTCTTCTTGTAATTATCGGCCATGTGGAGACACACATGGATTTTATTTTTCCAAATGTACAATTCTTTAATGTAGAAAGACTCATTAATTGGGAGAATTGAACGCTTAAGTGGCTTGTACCTTCTTAATTGAGAATGGTACTTCACTTTACCTGTTAATTCAAGACCCACTTTCTCTCTCTTTCCACCTAAGCATTTGAAACCCATTCTCTTTCTTCTTCCTCTCTCCCTAAATTCGGCCATCACCACCATCCCCTCACCAACACTCCGTTTTTACTCAAGCTCAAGCCATAGAACCATCTCCAATCCAACCCACCTAAAGAGGAAATTCCAAGAACACCCCTAAATGCTTGCAAAACTCTATAAATAGAACCCAACACCCAAGTGAATTTTCATCTTCTCCACCATATCTTAAAGCTCTTAAGAAAATATTCTTCTTCCTTCTTCTCCTCCATTTCAAAATTATTAGTGTAGGAAGCTCGAAATCTCTCCTCATTTCCAAAAAGAAGTTTCTTCTACTAGAAGTGTAAGAAAGCTCTCATTTTTCTTCTTCCTTTTCAATCTCGAAAATTTCCTAATATTTTCTTCTAATTTATTTATAATATCTTCAAGGTTCTTATAGTGGGTTATTCAATCCACTAATTCCTTCATATTCCCAAGAGTAAGTAGGTGAGAATTTCATATTCTTGCTACAAGTGATTCTTCACCAATATTATTTGTTTTTTGTCTCCTTTGTTCTTAATGGCCGAAAATTTGGGAAGTTATAGTACTTTACTTGTTTATTGTTAGATCATCCATGCATGTAAGAATCTAAGCTCTAAATGATATAATCTTGAAGAACTAAGAATAATATTCTAATTTAATTTTTATGTATGTATGTATATGTATATATATATATATATATATATATATATATATATATATATATATATATATATATATATGTATGTATATATATATATACTAGACCTGGGTGATCTTAAGGAAACTTCGATCCATGGTTTTCGTAAACCTGCGTGGTCGAAGAAAGTACTTGATCCTTGGTTTATCTATAATTTATATGTGCTATATATAAGTATATGTTTCTATGTGTATATATATCGACCTACGTGGTTGTAAGTGTACTCCCTTCGGGTCGAGGAAACTTACGATCCATGGTTTATGATCTATGAGTAATAAGATAATATACGAAGATAAAAACCGAGAACAAGATTAATAAAAATGGAATTTTGTGTGATGGAATTGTTGATGGTTCGAATATTTTGGAAAGAAAATTAAATAAATGGAAATTTGGTGCTACTTGAAAGAAAACTTCAAGTCTCTTGAGAAAGAGGGCTTGAACTTTAATTAATGAAACTTGGAGATAGTAATTATATATAACTGAATGTTTTCAGTTGTTTTGCTATATGTGTAAATATGTGATCTATGTTCTTTGCTTGAGTTGTTATGTGTCTTAGTTGCTTTTGTGATTTTGTGACTAAACTATGTGTCTTTGTGAAATATGTGAAAATATGTGTGCATATGTGAAAGCTAACTTTGAATATGTGAAATGAAGAATATATACTAACTTCACTTGCACGTTTTTAACACATAGATCGAATAAGCACGTTTGTAAAACATAGATCGAATAAGCACGGGGTATGAGGCACCGGTACCCCAAAATGAGATGAAGAGTGTGTGGTTTGATTCCACTTATGAAACGGGTTCCAAATAAATGAATGCTTATTGTCTATGGTTTTACTTCATTTTTCAAAGGATATCCGAACGAAAAATGTTTTCTCACACACCTAATCAAATTGTTTGAAATGAATGAAAGTATGTACTAACCTCACTTGCACGTTTTTAAATTGGAAAGTCTTGTAAAACATATATAGAATAAGCGCGGGGTATGAGGGACCGGTACCCCAAAAATGAGATGAAGAGTGTGTGGTTTGATTCCACTTATGAAACGGGTTCCAAATAAATGAAGGCTTATTGTCTATGGTTTTACGTGATTTTTCCAAAGGATATCCGAACAAAAATGTTTTTCTCACACATTGTATGAGCATCACTTGAATGAATATGTGTGTAAAAGAATGACGACTCCCTTGTAAGGGATTACTCTTATTCCTTATGAAATGATGAAAGGAAGGTCTAAGAGGTTAGCCGAGAAGGTAAAGGTAAATCGGTAAATTCCCATAAAGAAATGGTGATTCAGGTATATGTATACTCGTATATGTATGTATATGTATGATTATATGATTTCTTGTCTAAGTGTATTTGATATTCTATGGAATTCTCATTGAGTGTCAAAGACTCATATAGGTGTTGAATTGCTTGTAGGATTATCCGATTTCGAGCCCGAGGATCGTGGTTGAAGTTCTGTTCGTGGATCGGGAGAAGAGTTCATATGGAGGCAAGGTGGATTTTGGGTGCTCTTAATATACTAATGTGGTTTTATTTGTACACTTTGCTTTTAAAGATATTCGACACCGTTTTAGGTGTTTATTATCGTTCTCTCCCGCGTACTGGAGGAACTTACTATTGATGCATAATATGTAATGTTACTTAGGAGTAAAATTACCTCTTTCGATATATGATATGGCATTTCCTCAAAAATTATGTAACCTTATGGCAAGTTTTCATAAAAACCTTATAAAATGTCCGTCGGCTAGTTGTGTGTTATGTTCTGTCTAGTAGTTTGATAATTCGTGATAATTATCTCTTCCATACATTATTGCATGAAATATTACAGAATAATAGCCCTCTCTATTAGATTCATTTTTATAGGTCTTGTGCATTATTTGGATAATCCATGAATTAATTATGAATTGTTTCCCAACACTGCTCTGAAACAGAGTCATTTTAGTATTTACAATAAAATACGACGTTGTTCTCACTAAAAAGGATTTATTCCACTTGGGATAGACTCCTAAATTACTAATGTACTTTAGTATAGAATTTGATGATTTTTGAAACAGTAGGGAATTTATAAAGATTTTTCAAAGGTCACTTCCCTGCTTTAGATTTTTAAATTGTACAGTTGTACCATTTTAATTATTCCTTTCAAATGGCTCAAGGTATTTAAAACCTGTTTTTACTAGGTTATCTAGGCCCTTATTACAGCACGTGGTAAACATTTCAGCTGCTTTTCATGAGCGGTTAGAGAGTTATTAATTTGTTTGAGTGATAGATCGAAACTGTCCAAAATTTTCTCACTTTGCTAAAATGGAACTTAATCTCTAGTCATGCATGCATAGTTTGTGAAATTGATTAAGTGAATGTTGTTTGGTAATATGTGGACACTCTTACTCTGATTCTAAAAGAAAAATTTTGTCGGAATTTTCTATTCCCGATTAATATATTTCAAAGTCTTCCGCTATCATATTCTAAAATGGGGTAATTTTTTATAAACCCTCCACTCTAAGATTTTATAGGTCCTAGTCCAAGTCATAAGTCCTATTTTTCTAAACCCCCCTATTAATTTTTTTGGCTGATTTGCCCTTTGCAATAAAATAGGAAAATTTCTTTTAAAAATAATTATTCACCAAATCAGATTTTTTAGCTAAAAAAGAGGCAAAGAAATCTCGTGAGATTGAAACTGCAAAATTTTACCTCTCATCATTTCTTTTAATTTATCCAATAGCCCTAATTCTCAAATCGACAAAAATTGCTGTATATCTTCACACCGCCATCGAAGGGAGAAACTGCCTCGTTCTCTTTCAATTTACTCACTTCTCGTTCTCTTTCAATTTACCCAATAGGCCTACTTCTCAGATCGACGGAGAACTGTAATTCTGCAAACTGCCACGGAAGAGAAAGATCTGCAAATCTCGTCAAATTGAAACATGCAAAAACTCTCCTCCATTTCGTTCAACCAAAACTCTGTAATCATAGCACCTTATTGCTGAGATTGATGTAGGTTTTGAATCCGAGAAGATGGCGCAAAATCGGAAACGTACAGGTAATTTGCTATATATTTTATTTTTTTGTATTTTTTTTAAATCGCGATGCATTGACGAAATACAATGGGTGTTTTTATGAATGAAGTCAAAGACAGAGATTTGGAGCCTACGACCCCAGGTAATAACTTTGTTTTCTGCAAATAATATTTTTTTGTTTGTTTTTTATTTTGTTGTTTTTATGTCTATTTTGCACTTTGATGTTTATTATGTGTTTTGCACTTGCTGTTGTATTGTATATTGTATTTTGTATATTTCATTAACTTTTGGTGCCATGTCAATTTTTGCAAACCTATTGTATTGTTGGTAGTTCTGTTGCAATTTTGAATCTGTGTATTGCTATTTGAAATTACAATTAACACTTTGGCACTTTGTTGTTTATTTGAAATTACAATTGGCACTTTGGCACTTTGCTGTTTATTTTGGGTATTGCCCTTGATTTTACTGTTTTTTGTATATTTTGCACTTTGCTGTTTATTATGGGTTTTGCTTATATGATGCGTATTTTGCTCTTATATTATATTTCAATTCAATTTTGTTGTTATCATAGTATAAGTTGCATTTTACTATAATATTTGCAGTTTGGTGTCTTAACAAATGGTTTCATCTTTCATAACAAAATACTTGTTGAAAATAACTTATTATCATTGATCGTTTGCATTTTGCAGTTTGTTGTTGACAATTGCATTTGGATATAGTTATTTGCATACTATTATTTGGTTGTTGTTGCCACTATTTTGTTGATGTTGTTGAAGTTTATATTTTTTATGTTGTTGTCTGCAACTTGAAGTTTGTTGATGTTGTCCCTTTAGACGGTTTTCATTTTCACTTTTGCATTTCTGCATATTTTAATTTGCAGCTCGTTATTGCAAATTAATATTAGTTTTTTTTTCTTCTTTGGGAATAACTATGAAAGGTTTCACATATTTTTTGGTTCTCTTCCTAAACTCATATTAAAGTTAATGCGTGTGTGGCTTTTTTTTTCTTTTGTATTTTCCCGTTTCATAATGTATTGCATATTGCGAGTAATTGTATTTTTTTGCATCTCGTTGTTGCAACTTCGAACATTGTATTACTCTATCGGGATTCTATGATGCGTTTTGATATTGTAATATGCATTGATGCAAATTTGTGCATATTTTAATTGGAAGTTTTTTTGGTTGAACTCGTATTTTACCGTCGCTGTAACTATAGGCCAGAAGAAAACAAACAAGAGATTCATTAGAGGTTGATGCTACTGACACGATCATGTTTCTAGAAGATCCTCGATTACGTTTGGAAGTTGTGAATTCAGTCGGACGTCGAGACTATGTCCGTTATGACATCAACCCAGCCATAATCAGTTATGATAGATTGTAGTTTGTTTATAGACTATATTGCAACACTGCTTGTATCTATTGATTTGTATCTTACAAGATTTTGTATTTAATGTACTTCTTTATTCCTAAATAAAAATGGTTTGTTGGTTTGTTATATCATCTTTTATTTCATATTTTATATTTTAAAAATATCTTATATTGTTCGAGGAAGAATAAACTTGAACCTCTGATGTTTGAGTAAAGTATCATTAGTTCCATATTGTGTTGTTGTGAAAATACATTTGTAAACAAATATTTTGATTCCGTATTATATTTATTTTGCTATTTATTTTTGCTGTTATAAATTGCAGTTTGTATGTTGCTAATTGTATTTTGGAATTTGTTGTTGTAACTTGACACAAGTATTTTGCAATTTTGCTATTTATTTTTGTTGTTATAAAATAGAAAATAAAAAAAATAAAAAAATAAAAAAAAGGAGAGAGATAGACGAGATTGAGAGGAGAGAGAGGAGTTAGAGAAGAGAAAAGAAAGGGAGGGAGAGACGTGAGAGAGAGGAGAGAGAGAGGGAAGTTAAATGAGAGAGTGAAATGTGGGATTTTATTCATATATTCAATAACTAACTAAATTAATATATATAATAATTAAGGGTATTAATGTCAATAGAAAAATAATTTAATTTAGTTTATATTAAATTTATTGGTCAAGGGACCTATAGCTATAATCAACTAACAAAATGGATCCCTAGCCATATAAGTTCCAAATAAGGGGGTTCCAGCTAATTATCCCATTCTAAAATACTAATTAGTTATAACTAGAAAAGGGGTGTCACACATACGTGGTATTAAAGCAACGATCCGCGGAAAATCTCCATATGAACTTAAAGATCTCCAAAATCCTCGAATGACGACATCAACTAAGAACTCGGGCAGGTATGTGTTCATGTGTGCACATTTCTTAACTAATGAGAAGTGTTTATTTGTTTAAAGTGCTAAAATGTTGGGAGCACAAACTCGAGCCCAAAACACCGCCAACGGTCTGAATGATCAATCTCGCACCATACAAGACCTCACCGCCCTCGTCCGAGAACAAAATGAACAAATCCAACGCCTTGTTAACCTCCACAACCAGAACCCTCCATCTCCACCAACTCAAAATACCGCACCCCAAGCCATTTACGAAAGGTTTATAAGAATGCACCCTGCCGAATTCCATGGAGGCCCTGATACAACCATAGCCGAAGAATGGATCAAATCCCTAGAAGTCATTTTCGACTACATGGAAATGTCCGACCAAGATCGAATCCATTGTTTTCTTTTCGTATTGAAGAATATTGAAGCCCGTCATTTGTGGGAAGGTACCAAAGAAGTAATCGACCTAACGAACACTACTTGGAGCGCTTTCAAAATCTTGTTCTTTGAAAAGTACTTTCCAAAAACCTCCGAGCTCAAAACCTTAAGGAATTTCTCGAGTTAAAGCAAGGCAACTTGTCCGTAGCCGAGTACGTATGATGATTCGAAAAAGGATGTCTCTATGCCCCATTCATATCCCGAGACGCCGACGAAAAGGCCAACCATTTCCTTAGAGGCCTCAACCCGATGATTCAACGAGATGTCCGCATGTCCTCCGTAACGACTTTTCGGAAAATAGTCGACAAAGCACTCGAAGCAGACCAAGCCAAGCAAGAGATCCGTCAATCTCGATCCGTTCCACCCGCCACTACTCACAAATGCAAGAGGCCCCACCCCGGACCGAGCCAAAACAAGGGAAAACGTCCAATGATTCAAAACCCTGCTACACCACCAGCCCGACCGATTTGCCCAAAATGTCGGAGACCTCACTTTGGACCATCCGTTCAAGGCACCAACAATTGTTATCGCTGCGGAAAACCAGGGCACTTGATAACGGATTGCTCACAACCCCCACCGCAAAACCGAGCTCCCGGTCGAGTGTTCCCAATGACCAAAGATGAAGATGAAGCCGACCCTTCGATGATAGCAGGTACAATTTACGTTCGAAACAATCTCGTTTATGCTCTAGTTGATTCCAGATCGACTCACTCATTCGTCTCGAGTACCCTAGCCGCCAAATTCCCAATAACCCCTACCACATCTAGTGAATTATTCAAAATTCGCTTACCGTCTGGCAATGACTTAGAATCCGACCTCTTTTTCAAAGATTGCCCAATCCAAATCCAAAAGAAGCCACTCAATTCCGACCACATAATTCTCCCTATAGACCATTTCGAAGTAATTCTCGGAATGGATTGGTTGTCCAAATTTAAAGCCCAAATTAATTGTGCGACCAAAACCGTCTATCTTTCTTTACCCCACGGCCAAACAGTGGAATTCCAAGGATCTTACTCACCTTCACTCCAAATCCTCTCCGCCGTCAAAACACTTAAGCTCGCCCGAAAGGGGCATTGTTGTCATTTGGTCGACATAGTCGAAATCTCCGACGAAAATAAACCCGAGCCATCCCAAGTACCAACTGTTTGTGATTTTCCCGATGTCTTTCCCGAAGATCTCCCCGGTCTTCCACCCGATCGTTAAATAGAATTTGAGATCAACCTAATTCCCTGTGCAACTCATATTTCCAAAGCACCCTACCTCATGGCCCCGTTAGAACTTAAAGAACTCAAAGAACAAATTCAAGAGCTTATTGATAAGAAGTTCGTTCGCCCTAGCTTCTCCCCTTGGGGCGCTCCCGTCCTCTTCGTCAAAAAGAAAGACGAAACCCTCCGCCTATGTATCGACTACCGAGAACTTAACAAAGTCACGATCAAGAATAAATATCCTCTACCGAGAATCGACGACCTTTTCGACCAACTCCAAAGCTCCACGGTGTACTCAAAGATCGATCTACGTTCCGGCTATCACCAATTGAAAATCAAGAAAGAAGACATCCCAAAATCCGCTTTCCGAACTTGTTACGGCCATTACGAGTTTGAAGTAATGCCGTTCGGTCTAACCAACGCCCCAGCCGCTTTCATGGATCTAATGAACCGAATCTTCCGGAAGTACCTCGTCCAGTTTGTAATCGTCTTCATCGACGACATCTTAATCTACTCCCAAAATGATGAAGAACACGAAGAACATTTGAGAATCGTGCTCCAAACCCTCCGAGAAAACCAACTTTACGCAAAATTCTCCAAATGTGAATTTTGGCTACGCCAAGTCCACTTCCCTGGGCACGTGATCTCGAAAGAAGGAATATCGGTTGATCCAAGCAAGATTGAAGCCGTTTGCAACTGGCCGACTCCCAAAAATGTTGGAGAAATCCGAAGCTTCCTTGGTCTCGCGGGTTACTATCGACGATTCGTTCCGAACTTCTCCAAAATCGCTTCTCCACTCACTCGATTGACCCGAAAGGAAACCAAGTACCAATGGACCGCCGAATGTGATTCTAGCTTCCAAGAGCTCAAGAATCGATTAATTTCCGCCCCCATTCTCGCCTTACCCGACAAAACTGGAAACTACGTAGTCCATAGTGATTCTTCCAAGCATGGACTTGGAGCCGGCTTGATGCAAAATGGGAACGTAATTGCCTATGCCTCTCGTCAATTGAAATATTACGAGAAGAATTACCCGACGCACGACCTGGAACTTGCCGCCGTAGTCTTTGCCCTCAAAATTTGGAGGCACTATCTTTACGGAGAGAAGTGTTTGATCTTCACCGACCACAAAAGCCTAAAGTACTTCTTCACCCAAAAGGAACTTAACATGAGACAAAGACGATGGCTCGAATTGGTCAAAGATTACGATTTCCGAAAAAGTAACCGTGGATTTTGTAACCCTGGATTTTGTTGAAGTATTTCCGAAAAATAAAAAAAGGTTCCGACTCAATATGGGTGATAGTCGATCGCCTAACCAAATCCGCTAACTTTCTACCGGTCAAGACTACCTTTAGTCTCGAAAAACTAGCCGAACTTTACATCCGAGAAATTGTCCGACTCCATGGGATTCCTATATCAATTATTTCCGATCGAGACCCTCGATTCACTTCAAAATTTTGGAAGAGCTTGCACGAAGCAATGGGGACCCGTCTAGCCTTTAGTACGGCATACCATCCCCAAACTGACGGTCAATCCGAGAGAACGATCAAAATTCTCGAAGATATGCTCCAAGCATGCATAATGGATTTTGGTGGCAATTGGGAAAGCCGGCTACCGCTCATCGAATTCTCGTACAATAATATTTACCAATCGTCGATTGAAATGGCACCATACGAAGCATTATAAGGAAGAAAGTGTCGATCTCCCATCTATTGGGACGAAGTAGGCAAGCCAAAATTATTGGGCCCCGAACTAGTCCAACACACCGTCGACATAATAAAAAACATCCGGGAGAAAATTAAGTCGGCCCAAGATCGCCAACAAAAATACGCAAATAAAAGGATACGAGACTTAGAATTCAATGTTGGCGACCACGTATTTCTAAAAGTCGCTCCACTCAAAGGAATTATGCGATTCGGAAAACGAGGGAAGCTAAGCCCTCGATATATTGGACCTTTCGAAATTCTCAATCCAATTGGTACACAAGCCTATCGCCTTGCCCAACCACCACATCTATCTCGAATACACAACGTCTTTCATGTATCCATGCTCCGAAAATACCTTCCCAGCCCCGACCATGTCCTCAAAGTCGAACCCGTAGACTTATCTCCAAACCTATCCTTTATTGAAGAACCCACCCAAATTTTAGACCGAAAAGTTAGGAAACTCCGAAATAAATAAATTCGCCTTATCAAAGTTCTTTGGAAAAACCACTCCCCGGACGAGGCGACGTGGGAATTCGAGGATGAGATTGAGAGTCGGTACCCGAAAAATCTTTACACGAAAAATAACTAATTGAAAATTTTCATATTTTATTTAGATTATTGCATTCTAGAATTTAATTTGGATAGTTGGAATATATTTATGCATACACTAAATTTTTAGAAAAAGAAAAAATTCATGCATATTAGAAAATTAAATGAGTGAATAAACTTAGAAATAAATTTTTCCCCACTCTTCTTGTAATCTTCGGCCATGTGGAGACACACATGGATTTTATTTTCCATGTGTACAATTCTTTAATGTAGAAAGACTCATTAATTGGGAGAATTGAAGGCTTAAGTTGCTTGTACCTTCTTCATTGAGAATGGTACTTCACTT